CAGATGGAAAGTTGAGGGAACAAGGGCTTGCCCTTCTAGATATTTGGGTAGATCTTTAAAAACGCTGTTCTGGTGTGCCTGGGAGGCTCAGTCGGTTAAGCGTCTGACTTTGGCTCAGGTGGTGATCTTGCAGTGGGTGAGTTCGACCCCACATCGGGCTCAGTGCTGACAGCTCAAAGCCTGGAGCCTGCTTTGGATTCTGTCTCCCTCTCTCTCTCTCTCTGCCACTTCCCCACTCATGCTCTGTCTTTCGCTCTCTCTCTCAAAAATAAACATTAAAAAAAATTTTTTTAAATGCCTTTCATTAGGTGGGCAATGAAAGTTGGCCAAATGATTCAGGAATAAATACTATAGTAAGTATTGATTTATGAGAGCACTTTAGGGAGCGCCTGGGTGGCTCAGTTGGTTAAGCATCCACTCTTGGTATCGGGCCAGGTCATGATCTCACTGGTTCCTGGGCTTGAGCCCTGCGTTGGGCTCTGTGCTGGCATCATGGAGCCTGCTTGGGATTCTCTGTCACTCTTTCTCTCTCTGCCCCTCCCCCACTTGTGCTGTCTTGTCTATCTCAGAATAAATAAACTAATAAGCTTTAAAAAAATGAGAGAACACTTCACTTTTGACAGGTAGGCTGGAGGAGCATTGCAAATGAAGGCTGCCCCTACAGGGGGAAAGGTAAAAAGCAGGGGTGTTTTGAGCCTGGGCTCTGATTAAGTAAGACCTATATTCAATTTCTGACTTTGACAGTTTCTAGCTGGATAAACAATGGCCTTGGGCGAGTTAATGGAACATGCTAGGGCTCCTATTTTTCCCTATTAAAACATAAAGATTTTAGGTTGTGTTGTGAGCCTGATAAAATAATTAGTAATTATTATATTAACTAATAATATCATTGACTTTGCATGAGTATAGGCTGTTATAAGCTGACAGTATAGATACTGTACGATACAGAGAAATAGGCATGGGTATAAAGAAATCAATGATGTGAAGACAGAGGAGAGGACATATAAATTCAAATTTCACAGCAGTAATCAAATAATATCTACCATCAGATGGAGCATAAGTAGTTCCCATCCAGGCCTGCAGTCTTCTGGACCTGTGTCATGCTGCTTAATGGCCTTGATGGGCTACATCTTGTCCCTGGTTAACGAGGGTTCAGTGGTCTTGGCTGGTTGCAGCTTCACAAGACACAGAGGCCATGCATGCTCATGTTAGCGTCTAATTTTATTTTTCCCCTAGAAGTTGTTCTGAATTGACAATTTAGTGTTCAGCAATTTAAAATCAATTGGATTTGTTTTTCTTTTTAAGTATTTGTTTCTGGGAACACCATGGAAAAGCACAGTGTCAGGCTTTTGAATATTTATATTAAAAGCAAAGAAAAAATTATAGAAGGAGATTAAATGCTTTAGTTTTCTTGTAATCCTTTCACCTTTCCCGGTCTTCTGTCTACCTCCTTCCCTGCCCCCTACTTTGGTGAACAAATCACTTATTATCAATTTACTCCTGAATATCTTGAACAATTTTGATGAACAAACATATTCTCTGAGTCACAATGCTTGGGGAACCACATGTCCTTTTTACATTTCACATTCACCAGAGCTTTGGATTTAATTATACTAGAGAATTCTTTCCCACTGAATTAAGTATCACACTTCAATATCAAAACTGCACTGAAAGCTCTGATATTGAACTGGTGTAATTTTAACCTTCTAAGAGAATTGGTTGGTGTGGAGTTTCTATCCAGCTAGTACATGCTTTGACTTTATGAAACCTTCTTTGAAAAGTGTCTGATTACTTTCAGGGGTGAGGTCTGTCCTTTTGTCCTGACAAAGCTCACTTTTCCATTCTTGCTGCCAAAATGTTTTGCCATTGTGGGATTTTCCCAACTGTTGCTTGGAAGTCAAATTAAAGGTCTTAGGCAATTTCAGCTTTAAAATGCCATGTAACAGACAGAATGGAGGCGAGACTGAATTCTACCAGTAAGCAAGTTAGGTCACTTCTACACAGCCATGGACGAATATGGATAGAACCAAAACATTTCGGCTTTTCACTTTGCTACTGCTTTATAAGACAGACTTAAAAAAAAAAAAAAAAGGTGGAAACTAACTTTCTACTGCTAGAGGAAAAATTATTCTAGAATTTGTTTTAATAGACTCGGATTCTCAGAGTCTTTAGGAAATACAATGGATGTTTAATTAATTCGTGCATCTAAAACTTAAACCACATTATTTCCTTTTCATAGGCTGAGTGGAAATAATTCTTCTACAGGGACAATCTAACCTTCCTTTATGCTTCTTGCTTTCTCAATGTCTCATCTCAGCATGTGTTTTTACAGTCCCCTTCGTACCCAAAGCCTGAGTTGGCTGATAACAAGAACAAGATGGGAAAAAAGTGATTAGATTGTGTATGGTTTAATTACTTTCCTCCTGCTCTGTCCCCACTCCCCACAGCCCTATGGACCTACTCATGGAGAGAATTGCTGGAGCTAGACCCCAAACTCCCGAGAAGCTACCAAAGAACTAAGTGGCCAGAATAGAGAAGAACTGTAAGTCAGAGATCCTCACTGATACATGGAGGGAGAAATAGAAAAAAAGCTGGGAGGGGCGCCTGGGTGGCTTAGTCGGTTAAGCGTCCGACTTCAGCTCAGGTCATGATCTTGCGGTCTGGTCCGTGAGTTTGAGCCTGTGCTGACAGCTCAGAGCCCGGAGCCTGTTTTGGATTCTGTGTCTCCCTCTCTCTGACCCTCCCCCGTTCATTCTCTGTCTCTCCCTGTCTCAAAAATACATAAAATGTTAAAAAGAAACTTTTTTTAATTAAAAAAAAAAAAAAGAAAAAAAGCTGGGAGTCTTCAAATAACCTAGTAACATGCAAAGAGGAGAGAGACCTCTTTGAACAATTTCCAGACTCAGAGAATGAAACGTATTTAGCACTGGACCTGTTCAATAAGGATTTTCCTGCTCCGTCTTCCTACCTTCAATCCCTGCTGCCCACACCTGGAGGCATAGAAGCAGCAGCTATTAAGAAAGGAGGGAAGGGGCACCTGGGTGGCTCAGTCGGTTAAGCATCTGACTTTGAGTCCCACCTCGGGCTCTGTGCTCTCAGAGCGAGGAGCCTGTTTCAGATCCTGTGTCTTCCTCTCCCTCTGCCCCTCCCCCGCTCATTCTCTGTTTCTGTCTCTCAAAAATTAATAAGCGTTAAAAAAAAAGTTTAAAAAAAAAAAGGAAAGGAGGGGAGGGGCACATGGGTGGCTCAGTCAGTCAAGGTCTGACTCTTGATCTCAGCTAAGGTCATGATCTTGCGGTTTGTGAGTTCAAACCCCGCGTCGGGGCTCTGTGCTGACAGCTCAGAGCCTGGAGTCTGCTTCGGATTCTGTGTCTCCCCTTCTCTCTGCCCCTCCCCTGCTCATGCTTTCTCTCTCAAAATAAATAAATAAACTTAAAAATAAAAGGAGGAGAGAAGGGAAGAAACTGATCATTTCTTTTTCCTCAGCTGCATGACAGAGAAGAATTATCTTTCAATGAAGATCAAAGTGTTGATTACTTCATAGAACCAAACATTCTATTAAAAAAAAATTACTGTGTATTTTGTGTCTTAGGTCACCATTGGACTCTAAAAATGCTCAGAAAATAAAGGAACTGCTTTTTATTTTTATTTTTTGCTTAACCCAGGAGTAAGATAAAATAGATTGCTGGAAAACTCAATGAACATAAGAATTCAATTAAGTTTGCTTTGTGATAAGCATCCCACACATCAGGTTTGTGCACTGTACTAGTTACTGGTGACCTCATGAAATTTGGCCACAACCAGAATCCTAGAAATCTAGTTTCCCCATAAGATACTGGAAAAGGATAGAAAATCCGAACTATTTGGAAGAGCCTCCTTTTAGGGATAAATATTTATCATCTGTAACGCATTGGTCAAGAATCAACAGCTCATGAGTGAGACGTGAAAGACGGCCGAGAAAAAAGTGTAACGTTATGGCTGACATTTTCACCAGTTTATGGTGTACCTCAAAGGGTATCAAGTTTTCTCTCTCGTCAGGAACATGTGTAAATCCTGGTGGAGATGCAAGAGGGCTTTGTGGCTTCCTGCTGCCGACTCTGGAGTATGATACTACTTCTCAATGCTGTATTTACCTGACCAGTGAAGTCACTCGGTATACAAGGTCACAGGTCATATCACAATTCCTGGGCTTTGCTTTTATTTAGTCACTAAAAACTTTGTTTAATGTTTGTTTGCTTATTTATTTAGAGAGACACAGCGACAAAGCGCGAGCAGGGGAGGGTCTGAGAGAAGGAGACACAGAATCTGAAACAGGCTCCACGGTCTGAGCTGTCAGCACAGAGCCTGAGGCTGGACCTGAACCCACGAACCGTGAGATCATGACCTGAGCCGAAGTCGAAGACTTAACTGGCTGAGCCACCCGGTGCGCCCCTGCGGGGCTTTGCTTTGAAATAGCATCGCTCCTTCTTGCCAAAAATCCATCTAACAATCTTAAAACCGGAAGCAATCCGTGAGTGACTATGTTCTTACCTTAAAGCATCACAAGACTCCCAGTGTGTGGTTTCCATTCTTTTCCAAGAAAAGTCTAACGCCACAAGAATTTAGAGAACAAGTCGGCTGTCACCGCTCAGAGGGATTAAGCAGGGTCAAGGATTATTTCAAGCATCTGTTACTAGGGGTATAGATGCCATAGACCCAAAGAGGAAGATGAGGGATAAATATACAGTAGACGCCCCCCCTTTCCATGGGGGACACCTTCATTCCAGGACGCCACAGGGACGCCTGAAACTGTGGACAGTACTAAACCCTAGGTATACTGGTTTTTCCCATCCATATTCACCTATGATAAAGTTTAACTTATGAATGAGGCACGGTAAAAAAAAAAAAAAAAAAAAAAAGACTAACAGTAAAATAGAATTATGAAACTATATTGTAATAAAAGTTATGTGAACATATTCCCTCCCTCTCTCAAAATATTACACTGTATTGCATTGACTCACCCTTGTGAGGATGCGAACGACAAAACGCCCACGACTGAGGAGAGGAAGTGAGGCGAGTGACGTAGGCCTTTGCTGCGTAAAATTAGGTTACTATTCACCTTCTGAGGATTCGTCAGAGGGAGGGTCTTCCGCTTTCAGACCGCGGTTGATCTCGGGTCATTGAAACTGCGTCAAGGGAATCAGCAGATAAAGGGGAACTAGTGTTGGGGAGTTTTAAGTTAAGTTTTAGGTGAAAGTAATGCTACTTTTGAATTGTAATGTTAATGAGACAGATGGAGACGTTTGAAGCGTGGAGGAGCTGACAGTGTATTAAATAAGGTCAGCATAAGGTTAATTCAAGGTGAAGCTACGAGGACATTGCTCACCTTGAGGCTAACCACAAGATACCATTTCCAAACTGGAGTTAAAGCAAAAGAGAAAGATGGAGAGCTTCGAAGTTAAGAGAAAGGAAGAACGTGTGCCTATTTTGATGACCTGAAATCTTAGGAGTCAAAAATAAAAAAATATCTTGTGAAAATCCATAATTACTAAAGACCTTGATCATATCAGTAAAAATACTGGTCTTTATATTACTTTTCAAAAGTCAAATCTGGGTAAAAGTATTTGAAAATGGTGTTAGAATGGTTTCATATTTGTGGAAAGTATGATTTAGTTATAGTGTATATAAACCATAAACATATTTAAAGATATTTATTTTACAGAAAATAAAATACCTTTGCGAAATATTACAGAGTTAAAACCAGAAAATATTCTACTAATTTTATTCCCGACATTAAAGTACTAACCATCATAGTCTCAACTTCTTCTAAAAGTAAATTTTACCCAGAAGGGTCAAAATAATTTTAATGATCTCACTGCAAAAGTCAAAATGCTGTGTTCATTGGGATCTCTCATAATAGCCTCGCCCATTGTAATTATGCTTATATTTAACTTCTGAATATACGTAAAATAATAAAAATCCAAAAGGCTGTCTTCCCTTCCCCCTTTCCACTCATTTTTTACCTTTTCATGCCCCCTTCCCATCCCTTCCTTCAGTAACTATGTGTATATCCATGTTCAATGTACTGTACTAGGTGCTTTGGCTGATGATGATAAGATAGAGTCCAGAGATAATATAAAGCAGGTACAAATATAATTATAACACAAGTTAGAATATTGTCTGGTTCATTAGTTATGAATTATTGAATGGTGGTTATAAATGTTGAATGAACAAATTCTCTGTTCATTTCCGATTGATTCTGTCTAGGTGTTAATGTAAGACAAATTAGGATGGAGTGATGGTTAATTTCAAAACTCACAATGCTATAATTTAAAAAAAGTAAATAGATGCATTATGAAGCAAATAAGCCTGTTGTGTACTTTTGAATTTCATATTGATTTAGCTTTCTGCAGAATATATGCAGCAGTGTAATTAATTTTGAATGATCAGATAATGTTATTGTCAGGTTATACAGATTTAATTCATAGCAAGCTCTTAAAAGTGAGAAGTACATAAAACCCAAGCTGTTGACTATTAGTTTCAGTAAGTGCATTGAAGTAATTTTTCACAAGTGCCCTTTAGGTAATTCAGATTTTCAGACTTGATCATGAACCTTTCTGGTTCATTTCTATGCCACCTAAATTTTAAATATATACAGGAAAATTTGTAGGTCAACATGGTGATAAAGTCTAATTTGGCAGGTGAAGGAAAAAAATTTGTTGCGATTTTAAAAACTAAAGCATTTCTTATTATGCACTAGTTATACTTGAAAAGAATTTCCTAAATCTTATGAATTCACTTAGCGGCGCACACACATCTTAATTACATAATTACTTGAAGCAAGCACTCTAATCCATCTTGTTCATTTTACACTTTATAAAAGAAACAAGCTAATTATGGCTTTACACTGAAGAAAAATACAAACTTGTATCATATTTACAGGCTTCATTGTACACTCTGCCGCTCAGACATGAAATAAGTAGAGAAAAAACACAAGTGGTCATTATGCTGCATGCTGTAACAGTGTTTTTAAAATGTTAAAGATACCATTGAACCAACCCTTACTAAAGGGTGGAGGGCATGCTGATCAGGGAGCCACGCTCCCAGAGAATAACTTGAAATGGACAGGGTGAAGATTTATGTGCAGTGATGGAAGAATGAAGGAAATGTTAGTACAAGGCACAGGCCAGCCTGATGACAAGTGAAACATTAATGCGTAATATTCAGGCATACCATGCAATATACAAGCAAGGAGAATGGCAGAGAGGAAATATTTGAACATCTACTTATATAGGCTCACTCTCAAGGAAGGCAACTTTGCTACTGCAAAAGCCTTCAATTGAACTATAATAACCTGATATACGGTCCTTCAAACTTATGTTTAGAAAATAATAGACAAATCAAGAGCACTGGAACCATAGGAAAATACTAGAGTGTGGTATATTTAGAGCCCTGGAACCATGGATACTGTCATAATCGCATGGAACTCAGGTGGTGCAAGAGGTTCGATCCAGTCTCAAGCCCATCAGGTGTGATCTCGGATCAAGTTCATGCTGGATCAATGGTTGGCATACAACTCAAATGAGGTGTATTAATTCTGTGGCAACTCCTCAAAATGCCTCTCTTGTTTGGGGTCCCCTACATGAAGTGGCAACCTAGAAAGGATATAATCTTACAACCATCAGGGTAGGCAAGGCTCAATTTGTGCCCAGAGTAAGAGCTAAAGGTCCTTCATAAGCAGAAATTAGCTTGGAAATGGGATCACTGCTTGCGCCAGAACTGTGAGCAAAGCGTCTATGTGAGTCATGTGTATGGGTAGTGGCATTTTACAAATCTAGCAAATTTACAGTCAAAACATCAGAATTACTTCAATCACTTGATTAAATATTACAGGGGAGTGTGTGTCAAATCTTATTTCTAGTTAGCAATACCATAGTTTTAAACTACTACTTGATTACAGATTTTGATTATAAAATCTGAAGTGAGATCGTTTTTGGCATATAGATGATGCTTATTATAGTCAATTTTATATTTTATCTAAAGTAAAAACTGATGTCCTGGGTCACACGCAATTAATTTTCATATGTTTTACACATTTGTTACAAAGGCAAACCAATGTCCAATGTGAACTACACCATCTTCAAATGATTGATTTTAGATAGATGAAGTTGTTCTTCTAGACACAAAATTGTCCTGTTTTCAATGTGCGTACCACTTTTCAAATAAAATGAGGATAAAATGGCAACTATTTCCTTTTGAAATTTGATGTTTTCTGAATGTGTATATTGACAGTATTTCTCCCAGTTATATGACAGTTATTAATATTACACTCAAAAAAATCTCAGTGAAAAGTTTTATCATGAAATCTATTGATCACTATTAGTTTAATTTCACTTACATTACTTTTAATAGGAACAAAACCTTATTGACCAACAAATAATTTGTTGTACACATCTGCTGGGAGATCAATTTCCACGCGTCTCTTGTTTTTACATGTCTTGTGATCAGAGGCAGTGACTGCTGTTTTTCTGTGCTATTTTTTTCAAGGAATTTTTTTTATAGCTAACAGCCTTGGGAGATACAGTGTCGCTCTCTAAGGCAGAGGCAGGATTTCCTAATATAATAATGATAGGACATGATATGGGATATAATATAATGTAATTCCTCTAGAACACATGAGCAGACAGGTTTACTATCCATTATATAAGATTTGAGTTCCCTAGGCTCAGGGATCTTCTTTAACACAACCCATTGCAGGTACAAATATCACCTGGCCCCCTTAGAGTTGCCCTTTGGGAGTTTTGTTCATAGAACTGGAGGAAGGCAATGCTGATATTTCTTGAGTAATAAAGTCCTTTGCCTTTGTCTATGGGTCTCACGGCTTTTGACAGAATCTGTGAAACTGTGGTGTGCTTCTAGTTTGCTAGAAGCAAACTTCTAACTTCTAGTTCACTTCTAGTTTGGATTGAACCTCAGACCGCTCATTGTTCTGAACATCTTGAAAAGAAACAAAGAACAGTGGGACTACTTCAAGAGGGGAGGAAGGAGACAAGGTTTTCCCTCCATGCACGCTTTCTGAATTTCTACCCTTGGCGTTACATGTGTAGGTGTATTATATTAGTCTGGTTTCTTTAGTTTGTCATAATCTCCTTTGTTTGTGGATATGTGGGGAGGGGGGCTTATGCGTGCATACGTGTGTGTTGTGTGTTTGTTTTTACAAGGGAACAGCCCCCTAAACAGTTGTTGCAAGGATTCAGGAGCTTAGATTTTAGAAACAGCTGGCTGATTTTCCCCCACCACCACTTTAGCTAAGAGGAATGAGACAATATAGCAGATAGAAAACTATATACCACTGTTTAACTTTAGGTCTACAGAGTATTGAAATATATTCAAATAAGGTTTGACAGACTTCTGAACTGATCTATAAAATGAAGTGTGTGCAGCCTTTGCCTTTATGTATTTCATGTTAATGAACCAGGTCAGACTTTCTCTCTTTGCCGAGAGTGGGCCTGGTGAGCGGAATATACACGGTGTGACTTCTGACAAAGGAGGATTAGCTCCAAACACATGGTGGGCTTTCATGGGGCTCTGGGAAAAAGTCTTCCTGAAATAACTCTTCCATTTGCTCTCAGATGCCTGGAATTCTTTATCACCAAAAGGAAATCCTTTCATCCAATGTTTGTAGTAAAGGATTAAAATGCATATACACTGAGAAAGGTGCCTCCTCGCTTAAACTGACTCTGTGGCATATATGAATAATAGATTTCCTGAAAGCAGGTCTTCAGTCTTAAATGGGTAGTAGGACATACCTTTATGCAGAAGAGGGAAATGGCATCACAATGATTTTGTTATTTAAGATAACTATCACTAACCTAATCCGGGGCTGGCAGGTAGATTTTACTTCTCATGCAAACTCTACTTAATTGTCAGCGGCTTCCTAGTGGGCTTTTCATGAAGAATTCTGGGGCATAGTGAAATAGCTCTGGGGTCAGTTAGCCATGGCTGCCAAAGTACCAAGGGAAAGTCGATACACACATGCTGGGTATTTGGTATCTCTGATCTACATTACTGGTTGCAA